TTATTGGTCCGCTTGATGAGACAGTACCAGAGACATGGACCAATCATATCTGACAAGATATCGATAGTCAAGGCCCAGGTGAACGCGCTCACGGCAGCTCACGTAGGCGCCTTTCTGTTCGATGACTGATCCTAGTATTGGAGATATTCCCAACAGATTGCTCGGCTATCTAGTAGAGGGTTAGCTTAAAAATGTTCAACGACCAAGGAATTCCGGATTCGAATTCCAGGACACTCAGATCTGGAATTGCGAATGGTTGGCTTACGACGGCTAAAAATCCAGAAAACGGACATTTCGGGCTCCTCTGTCTTTGTCGGCACTGGTTCCTATATAGTTCTACACTTCCGCGTCAACACTTAGACAGTTTGAAATTTTGGTTAGCTGATGCACCGCCAATGCAAACACTGAGATTTGGCAACGATCCACGCAACCCACTTAAAAGTAGCCCATTCTAAGAGATTCTAGGATTTGGGGTGGCCTTACCAAAGCACAAGCTTCACTAGAGTCAATTATGCTGGAAAGTTCAAACAATAATGGGAATCATAGGTCAACAAGGATGAAAATGAGCAAAACTAAGAGCTTCGAAGTGAAATAAACTGACGGATATATAACTACAGTTTTTTGCAACCAGTTGGGAAATAAAAGCAATTATAAGACGTGCAGACAAAATTACCTATCAGTGTTTTGCCCGTACCCGGTGGGCCAAACAGCAGCAGACCCTTCGGTGGTCCCCGTAACCCAGTGAAGAGATCTCTAAATGTTAAACACACACGACGTTAGGCAAAAATTATAAAGCAGGAAGAAGCACTCTGCGTACCATTTTTTTCTCCTAAACGTGTCGTGTACACACGGTGGTTTCGGAAAATACTAAAAAAATTACTTTTGACCATTTACTGGATAGGCGTTTAGCCTGAAGAAACAACCTAGAACTTTCCTATGGCGAAGACTTGAAGTGTCAAACAGAGGGTCAAAAGCCAACACTTCAGATGTTCGAGTAGACAACATCGGTAACTGGGAGGCTCATTAGTAGTTTTTTGAAGTTCAAGTTACAGTCCAAACAGTAACTCACTTAAATGGACAAAAAACGAGATAAAAGGACTAATCAGACAGAGTGCGGTTCTCAGCTTTCCGACTACTAGTTCCACACATGAGCCAAGAGAATTGATTTAGGAAGAAGCAGATGTAATCGCTGGGACAAGAATTTGATTCGTCTGACGTTTAGAAAGCCGTCGCGGATCCATCACCAGAGGCAATAGCAGAAACGAGTAATTCATACACGGAGTCGCAGTATCTATAGGATACATTCGATATGCTACTGCATACTTATGACAATAAACGGTCCCCTATCCGGGATAATTGCACGATTGTGCACTAATTTCTTGATGGCCGGCGTACGGGTCGTGACCTGCGGAACTTTCATCCCACGTGGTGGACTTGGGCGTGATGATTGCTCGGCCATCTGGCTCCCTGACACAGGTATTAGACGATGCGGTGGCCTGTGCGTTCCCCGAGTGAAAAATTGCATTGACCAAACTGAACCTCGCCACAGAATATGGGAAAAGCAGGTCGTTGCACTTATTTATAGACTGGGGGTCCGTGAACCAGGATTCAAGCAACTCTCGACTCACACGATTGTCGCCTCTCGCAAGCATTCTGATCTCATGAAATTTAAATGTGTAACCAGATCTCGTCGAATGAGCCGCCACTTGAGCATTGGTGTCATTTGTCTTCTTCATTTCAGGTAATTCCCGAGATTCGCATTTTTGCTTGTATTCGAACTGATTTACGTTTTCAAAATATTCTCTCTTCGTCACTGCAAGCTAGAGGGTTTATGAAACGCTGAGCATCACAGGGTCCAACTAAAGTAGATGCAGTTTGTGCGATTCTCCGGGTCCCGAAAGATTTCACGAAACAATGGGCTTCAATGGGTGACATGAGCTTAAAACGTGAAGGTCAGAAAACGGCAACTAATCACGTAAGCAACTGGATCGTAACATTGAGACAAGCGAGAAAGCAATCCCATTAAAATGAGCCGGTAGTGCTGGCAGAGGCGAAACGCTACGACCTCTGCACATCCAGGCACACAAGTAGAAAAAAAAGGCAAGATGCTTACGGTCGGAGCATAGGAAAAATAACGACCTCCTTCAGAGTATCTTTGACACGTTTGAGGCCGGCGATGTCGTCCCACTCAAGAGCGGTCTTGGAATCCATAATCTGGAAAGAGAAAAAGAGAACAGTTAGCAGGTACCAGAATTTGCCTAAAACGAGACCTAGATTATTTTTTCCATCAGCACAGAGCACCGAGGATATAACACAGTCTGTCGAACATTAAGGCTACTTTAGA